GCAGGGATAGTTCCAGCACCCAGGGTGCAATCTTACCATCTCCCTTCATTGCTACTGTGTGCTCAGGTTGCAGGACCAGAATCCTACATGGTCTCTTATTCTGTTCTCCTCCCCAGCACTTCTAGCTAGGTGCTTTCCAACTTGGCATTTGTTTTCAGTACCTGTGTGCCCCTTGCACAGCAGACCCCCAATCCCCACCTTCAACCTAGTCTTTGAGCTCCTTGAACACAAAGAACCTGTCAGCACATACTACGTCCTCAGTAAACAGCTTCCATTGGTTACCCTCTGAGAGGCCGGCACCTGTATTTTACTCATGTCCCATCATTAACAAGCTTTATGTCTGGGGTGACCAGTAGCCTTAGCAAGCTAAGCAATGAATCCTCTGGCTACTCTGTAAGCACTGGCTTAGCCCTTTTCTTGACTGTTTCTCAATGGGTGGACAGCATTGGGATGAAAGAACTTCAGTGTGGCTTCCTCCCAGGTCTGTCCTAATGAAGCACCCTGCCAGTAACTGAATTTAAAATCGCTGTGACTCACACCATGAGTCACATGGGTAGTCAGGGCAACCTATTAGGTATATAACCAAAGCACCTTCCATTAGCTTTGCCAAGAATGGTTCCTGAGTTTCCCTGGACTGTGAAAAGAATGTGAGTAAGCCCCAAGTTTGGGGTTGCTAAGACTCTACAATCCAATGGAATGGCCTCAAGAAAAGGAAAAGAAAACGAGAAACTAAGGTTATTCTAGTTTCTGGACCTCTGGAGTAAATGGCACTAATCGTGACAAATTGTTGGCTTGGTTTTGTGATATCAACAAATGCCTAAGGAGAGGAGGTTGAGGCCTCAAAACTAATTTTCTCTAAGTCAGATTGAAAGCCAAGTCTCCCTAGGGGTGAAAAGTGAATACATTAACCTATTCCACTTTACATGACTGCAATAAACACTTCTTCTTTTCACAGACACAAAGGATTATTTCTCAAAGAATGACTCTGATTTGTACCAGAATAGTTTCACTAGTGAGAACTCAAATCTCTTTATAAATGCACAGTGCTTTTATTTTATGTTTCAGGGATTAGCCTGCTGCAACCAAATGTTGGAAAATGTCCTGAGTTACCTTTGAACGGTCATTCAGGTTAAAATTAGACTATTTCAGAAGGTTCAGAAGCATATTTTATTTTGTTATTTATTGGGGGAAACGGGCATTAAATCGGATGAAACTGACACATTTTCCCCGACTGCTTGCTGAATGACCTGTAATTTTCACATGGTTGTAAGCGCCTGCTCTGGAGTGTGGAAGAAAGCAAGCAGAACAAGACTTACACAGGAAGAATAAGGCTATAAACAGGGATGAGGACAGGAAGAAGTGACAGCGCTTCCGCTCCCTCTTGGAAACAATCCGGGGGCCCACCATGTATCTTTTGGGTCTGTGGGGTGGTGAAAGGCTGATACATTCCCCAAGGTTATGCCTCTATCATGCTTAACTTCCCAGTAGCTGAAAACATAAGATGGTCTGTTGCATTTTTTTACTTTCTCACCTCCAAATTTGTCACACTCTAGCATTTCAGCAAATGCAGAGATATCCCAGTAGAATTAGATTAAGAAGTCAGAGCAAATGACCAGTTGTCTTTGGCAAATCATAAAAACCAAGACAGCAGTTGATTCCAAGAAAAAGATATTTATCCCCATGGTACTATTTCATCAAGGAAAAGACCAGAACAAATCTGTGGAAACACCAAAAGCAAAAGCAGTCTTCAAAGTGTCCAGACAAAGAAAGGTGCTATATAATCCCCACGAAGAAAGATTAAATTGAATTCTACACCACAGTGTAAAGTTTATCTAATACGTCCCTGTCCAACAAGTAAAATGCCCTTTTTTTGTTCACATACCAAAACAGCAGCAACACTTCCTATTGACAACTGAAGAACATCACAAATGTAAGAATTTCTTGACCAATTTGGTCACGATGACTTTGTACTAGAAGCCCCAAAGCTTTGCCTTCCCCCACTGGCCAAGTAAACTTAATGGCAAACACTAAAGTTGCCCTTTCTCACGAACTCAGGAGAATCTGAGTTCTCTAATACCATGCTTGTGGATTGCCCTGAAGCTAGCAGATTTCCTTTCCTGGGACTTCATTTCTGGCTTAACTCACCCCCAACATTTTTTTTTTTTAAGAAGCAATACCTGTACTATTCAGACAACAAGGTGGCCTAAAATAATATCATGTGTCACCACTCATTCAGATTCATTTTGTAATTCTTGCACCTCTGACTGGTGCATCTGTGTGCTGACATTCTGGTCTGATAATATATTCTGCAACTGTACATGTTAATTTATAAATTGAACAATCTCTCTGTGAGGGCAGTTAGGAGACCGAGATTGAAATTGCTAATGTGGGGTGACTTCAGCTGTTGATGATTACGTAGTCAAGCCTTGACCAAGGTTTTCAGAGCTCTGGCTAAAAATGGATGTCTTGAGACAGTACAAAAATGAATTCATACACTTCATGGATAGTGAAACTTTTTGAAGAACAGATGTCAAGATGATTTAAGAGGAGCTGGAATCGAACATTTCAAGAAAACTTATAGGCAAGTGAGGACAGTTCAGTTTTTAAGAAAAATCTGCAGATGCTAAAGGAGAAGTCATTTGGGTGACTGTTATTAGGGAGAGAATTCATTGATTTTCTTCCTCCTTGTAAGTTGTCGGCCCTATAGAGATGCTAAGATCAGAAATACAATGGGCTGTCTGCTAAGCTGGGTGACAAAAACAATCTCCACGTTTGGGTGGCATAGAAGACTCACTAGCTTGGGACTTGGGCCATTCATTTCTCCTTGGCCCGTGCAAAGTTGGGTGTCAACTGCCTGCTCGGGTGCTGTTCTTCCCACCTTGTCATCAGGCCATTTTATGTTGGGCCATGTCCCCCAAACCATGGAGGTAAACGGCCACCAAAAACCAAGATGATTTCTGATCTAAATCTTTCTGTCAATATCCAAATCACATAAAGGGAGCTTTATTTAAGTTTTCTACATTTACTTTATGCTTGATGTCTAAGAATTTTCTAGTTAGAAAGACGATAAAATCTACCCTCTCTGGCTGTATCTTGATTTCATTTTAAAGCAGGTGGTGCTGATGGAGTTGGTTAAGCCTCTAATGCAAGGCCACCTAGTTCTATCATCTCTTCCTGGAACATGTTTTCCCTTCTCAGCCACCACTCTCCCCCTGTCGCCGAAATCCTTCCCTCCATTTAAATCCAATCCAAGTGTTACTTCTGCAACAGGCCAGTGAATTATTCTCAGGGATGAAAATCCCTTGACAATCCCCATGGATGCATGTTTACTGACATCTGTGGTCTCTGTGGAGGGGTACTCCTTGTATCTGATGGAATTGAACTAGTGGTTTTGTCCACTTTTCCAAGAGCCAAGTCATAATGCAAACAGGCAGTGGCTTTCTGTACATTACCGGGTGGCCAGGAATCCATGCCCCAAACCACCATAAACAGTAGGCACAACCGTCCGCCCCTGTTTGGAAGAGGCCCAGGACTGAGCTAGCAGAAAGACTGAATTACTTACCACCTCTAGAGTGGGTCCCTCCAGGCCAGGGACGAGCTCATGGGCAAGGCTGTGCAAGGGAGCGCTCTGTGCCATGCCTGCCCTGCGGATATACAGAGGACTTCAGTCTCCTGCACTGTCAATCTCTCAGTCATCATGAGCTCAATTATGCACCGACAACAGCAAGAACAACAAAAACGACGACGACAAAACAACCCCCAAAAAGCTAGGGCCACAGGCTACCCTGCTGGACGGACAGCCGCCTGGAGCTGTGCGCTGAGAGATGAGGCGCTGTCCCGATCACGTGTCCATTACAGGCCTGACCTTTTCATCTTTCCGCAAACATTCCATTGAAGCCCATGGGAGAGCCACGTGGAGAGAAGACTGCAGGACTGGGCCCCCAAAAGTCAGGCAACCATCGAATTTGGTGGGGTTTTTTTGCTTTTTCATGTGCTACAAATACAGATAGACAGACAGACAAACCCAAGAGCAGATTTAAAGAATCAACTGAGGCACAAGATAAACTACTTTGATGTTACACGGAATATTTTTTCCCCACAAACGTTTCATATAAAGTCAAAAATTTTTAAAGCATAATTGGGAAAAATTGGGGGAGATGGCCCTAGAGTGTGCCATAATTGTTTCCATTGCTTGCCTTAGAAGGATGCCCAAACACATCTCATAGGTAGCACATATCTGTGGTCTAAAAGGGTTATCAAATTCTAATGACACTGTTAATTCTAAATATGCTGGTCAAGTACAGTGAAAGTTGACTGCCTGCATCAATGACGAATTAGTTTCATCCTGAGGTTCTTCTGCAGATGTTTGAAAATCACACTTTACATTGATGTGAGTTTGTAAACTTATGGTGTAGTTCGGGTGAAAGCAATTGAACCTGAGAAGTGGGAATGAATACAGAGTGTAAATCCAGCACACATTTCCACATCAAAATACCGATGCCATTTTACCAGGGCCCTCGGAGGCCACACTCATGGTCGAGCGACAGCACCTATATTCCCAGTCAGTTTCTCTGCTCCACAGACACAAGTACAAAACGGCTAAATCATGAGCTAGTGGTGAGGAGAAGGAGACCAGAGTTTAAACGAAATCAAGGTAATGTTTCCTAGAAACATACCAACTCTCCTAAGAAGGATCCAGAGTAGGGTGGTCAGTAAGTAATTAATCGATCCTCCTGGCTAGATTTGATGACTTTTTAAAGATGAATGGCTTGAATCACTAGAATGCATCAGAATGTCTAGACTCGCATTAACACACACTCAGTACGAACAGGTAGAGATGTACCATTTCCAACCACTACAGGTAGAAAAGGATGGCCTCTGTCAACCACGGGTCACAGCTGAAACATTAGTTTATACTTGAAGGGTCACAGCAGCCAGACATATGCAGATTCCAACTCTTCAGAAAACTTTGGACAAAAAAAAAAAAATGCATTACTTACATGTATGTGTCTTCTTCGTCACTGAGATACCTAGAAGAGAAGAAATAATGACAAAGTTAAGAGAGTACCACGTGTGCTTCTTGGAATGTACATCATTTCGCAATGTGCTTGGGAGCCCATTTGGCTCAGATGGTGATGGGGAGGCAAGATAAGACAGCGTCACTGGTCCTACCCAGGGGGAACGCAGCCATGAGTGACGGGGACAGGGAGCACTGCCTACTGGTTTAAGACGTTCCATGGTAAAAAGCATCAGCACACACAGTAATTAAGCAGGACGAGAGGAGACTCTTATTTTTTATTTTAAATAGAGGAGACGATCATGTTTATAGGCAGAGTGGGGAAGATTTAAGGCACAAGAGAGCAATGCTAACCTACACAGACAAGAGTGGGCTGAGCAACAGAGCAATTAATTTGTTACGGCCATTGATTCTGTGCTTCCTTTTTAATGTAAATGACTCTTCCTGCCCACATGAAGCATCACTTTTAATGGTGAGGGAAAAATACTTCATCAGGGTCAGAAGGGGAATGACTGCTACCTCTCCATGAATGGCACCCAAATGAACACAAACTGTATGAAAACGTGAGGGATTCATGAGTCAGCACCCTTGATGGTTCCAAGATGACTTACAGAGAGCAGGTGACAAATAGAACTAAGCACGATTTGGCACATGAGACCGTATAAAGATAACATGAATGCATGCTTCAATGCAAACAGTACCGTCTCTGTTTCTGAAGTACTCCATTTTGAGCTCTGTACTTCATTTTTCTTGGGGGATATTGAGTCTACATAGGCTCAAAGCACTAAAACTCTTGAAAACATTTAGCCTGTGACTAAGGAACTGTGGTAAACCTTGAAATTTTTTTCTTTCAAGTTATTAAAAGAGCTATTTAACCCTCCTCTGGGAAGCAAAAGTTATTGAAAAATTTGGCACCCACATTAGACCCATTACTTAGCTATGGAACACATCGTACAGGGAGGAAATCTGTTATGAAAATTCACAGTAGACATAAAAAAAGTTGGTTCCAAAGTTGTGCGCCAAGACCAAAATCACACACTTGCTACCGCCACAACTTTCCAAAGGACTTATTTAGGGAAGCTGAAATTACAGAGTTTAAAGCAGATTTCTTTTTTTTTTTTCCTTTTTATTGAGGAAAACTAAACTATTGTTTTTCATCATGTCTGAGTTGGCTTCACCAAGTGAAGTCAGAACCTTCTACAAAGCGCCTTGAAGGCTCTCTCACATGGCGACTGCAAAAGTGTTCTAGAATCTTTTGAAACAAGCATTTTCATGGGAAAGGAACTTTGCCCCACCGTGGCAGTGAGCAAAGTTTAAAATCTGAATACAGCTTGCAACTCCAGCTCAGAGCACCAGCACCAATAAATTGATACATTAGTGCTCTTTCAGCATTATGAGAGCTCTATGTGTACTTTCCTTAGGAAATGATGCTTTCTGTAAAATCACTTTGAAGAGAAAGTGCTTATGCTGTCACTCCTGATTATTCAGAACCTCCACACAATTGGATTTAATGCAGCCCAGAACAGACCTATCTATATTCGCTGAGTGTGGCACTATTCTCGCCTGACATCCGAAGGCCTCATGAAAATACCACTACTTAGATTTTTCTACTTAAATTTATTATACAGTGTGATGCAGTATTCTCATCAAATATTTTTGTGGTGATTACATTGATAATAGATTTTTTTGAAAATCTTTCCAGGAAAGTTGTCTGATCTTTGTGATCAGTGTAGCACAGAACTAAACCTTCTCACATCTGTCCCCAGGACAAAGCTGTGACTTCAGAGGCAGCACAAACTGGCCCCTCAGTTTTGTGGAACTGCCAGTTAGTGACCAATATAAATAATTGGGGATATTACCTATACAAGAGCTGCCGGGCTGAGCAGATAAAATACGGGATGCCCAGTTAAATTTGAATTCAGATACTGATTAATTGTTTATCGGAAATCCAAACTTAACAGGGCACCCTGTATTTTATCTAGCAACCCTAACCTACACAAACAAAATGTAAATTAGACCTATTATACACAACAAAGAACATACCAATACATGAATAAGCACACTGTTATGGGGAGAGGCTTAAAAAACATACCCCTCTCACAAAAACAATACTTAAAAAATATACTACGACTCTTAATTATGAAGACAGGAATGTGCATAATATTAAACTTTCTTTTTTTTTTTTAATTAGTAGCTTTACTTTTTTTTTCGCATGAAAACAAAATTTTACTTCCCTAGAAAAAGCAAACAAATGAGAACAATGTAAACACACAAAAGACAAATTTAGTGGAACAAAAAGAAATTTATTGAAATTCCCTTTCTCCTCCTCTTCTGAAAAACAGTTGTGATCACGTCAGCCTGGAATTTGTGCCCTTCCTTTCTCTGTGGAAGCTTTTCTACTTCATAGTAAACTGGCTCCACAGAAGTGTCAAAAAAGCAGAAACCCATCCTCCTCACTTCATTGATAGGTCAACTGAGGCTCAGGAAGTTTAATTAGCACAATAAGAAGTCTTCTGTGGAAAGTTAATATCGGGCTGGAAGTGCGTCCATGCCATGTATTTTGAAGCTGGTAGAGATGGTGCCTTTCAAAAGAGTTAATATTATTTAAAAAAAAAGATTTACTCCCTGAAGCCTACCACTCAGCAGTCAGCTCCGTAAATACTTTAAACCTACAGGGCCTTGTTCCTGAGCCTCATCTAAACCAGGAAGCCCAGCCGGGGCTTGGGTGAAAGAGGAGCTCAAATGAGAGGCCGATGTGCCCTGGTTTGGGACCAACAGCCGTTTCTTCACCCTTCCACGGGGGTGTGGTGGGTCTTCCCTTTTCTTTTCTCATTTTCCCGGAAGCTGCAGATTTCTATCTTTCTCTCTGTAGAGCTCATCCTTACCGAGATCGCAGCAGCCATATAGTGCCCATTTTGGTTCTTAAGCAAAAGAGGAAAAAAATGACGTACCCAAACCTAATACAACCAGCCACAGCAGCAGCAGCAGCTCTGCATCAAGAATTTTTGGAGAACCGGGTTTTCTAAAAAGTCTATTCATCTAAAAATTATGATGAGTGTTTTGGTGGCAAATAGCTCTAATTCTACCCAGGAGTAGAAAAGAATAAACTTTTTAAAAGCGGTTCTTAAAACAACTGGATTTAGAGTCAAGCTGACCTGAACTTGTATTCTTAGCTCATCTGCTCTCCTGCCTCTTGGCTGAGCGACCTTGGGTGAGTTGCTTAACTTCTCTGGGCCTGAATTTCCTTGTCTTTATAATTATACATAATCATAATAATACCCAAAAGGCTGTTGAGACAATTAAAAAAAAATTAGGTTGTGTAAAGAACTTCACAAACTGGGAAGTGTGATATAAATGTTAATTACTTATTTTGTAAGCTATGCCATAGGTACTCAGGAAGTCAGATGTTTCACATGGACTCATGGCCCAGGACTCTGGTTTTCAGACCAAGTATTCTCACTTGGAATTTCATATTTGATGGGGGAGAGCATGAGACACAGAACCAGCTTCCTACAAGCGAGTGTTCTCTATTCTGGAAATGGCACACCAACAGACGCTTCACTCTCTAGCATCCAGGGAGGCCACTTGCTCACTGGCAAGTGGACTACGTGGGCTGCAGACTGGCACAGGCAAAGGACTTGGATCGCCACCACCAAAGCCCAGCTGTTGTGAAGGTTTTCGTTTGTTTCCAAATGACTGGGAAGAACACCAAGATCCTCCCCCTGAGACTCACAGGCAGTCACCAGGCAGACGTCGATGCTCCCCACGGAGATTAGGATGCTGGGGAGCTTGGGCGGAGTGATGCAGTAGAACCAACTTCCTAAACGCAAGCACTCACCTACCCTGAGCCAAAAGTGAACTGGCCTCATGATTCGGGCAAGGCACTTCTCTTCTCTGGGCCTTAGTTCACTCATCTGTAGACTGAGATAGTTGAACTGAACGGTTTTTAAATTTCCCTTCTAGTTCATCAACCACCAGCTCCTTGCCCTGCTTTCTAGCTATCAAACCAAACCTCCTCTTTCTAAGCAACAGGCTGCCAGATCTATTTCTCACTGTATAAAATCCTAATGTAGCTCACAATCAAAGGTAACCCCCTGAAACTCTTTTCTTTTTGCCTTTACAAACCAAAGAAGAAAGAAGGCAGTACTCACAAAAGGTTATATAAGTAAAAGATATACTTCTTTTGGGTGGTATTTTAAAATTATCTGGGCTAGAGAAAAATGGTACCTTTTGATAAAATTGTGAGACTCCTTATATTTCACCCAGTTCAGACAGCGAGCGAGAGAAACATTTCCAAGTGATGCTTTAGAATAATTTCTATCTTAACAATATGACAGCAGTTCTAAATTGCCAATTTATACCCTTAAAACTAAGAGGAGAAATCTCCACAAATACTCTACCCAAAGTAGGGCTTCTAATACAGCAAGATTGCTTGACTCTATTTAGCCGACCATGCTTCAAAGTAAAGCAAAGAAAATGTCACGAAAATACCACAGATTTATCACTGTCATGGTTATCAGCAGTTCCAGAGTTATAGGTATCACACTTCGGGAATGCAATCTGGTATTTCCACTCAGTGCCAAATCTTGGACCAATTAACTTCCTTGATGGATTTCTTATTGTCTCTTGGTTTCTAGGCAATTGTCTTGGGACCAAGTTTCTTTTAACTTTTTTTTTTTTAAGAAATGGCATCTTTCCTCTTCCCGCCAAATGCCAGTTACTAAACTAGCATTTCCAGAGGTCCTGCCTTCTGGACGAGTCCCTAGCTACAGAGATGCCCCATGGCCACTCTTCAGCCTGTGCACTTTTTTTGTCTTCTTTCATGAGGAAATAACAGTTGTTGAGATAGAGATATTTTCAACACGAATAAATTCCGTGTTAAAATAAAAAACAAAAAGAAACACACACACACACACACACAATAAAAAATACCCAAAATAAAGTTAGTCCTCCCTCCGTCCCTCCCCTCCTTCCTTCCTTCCTTCTGTCCTTCCGTCTGTCCTTCCTTCTTCT